CAGAGACCTTCTTGACGTTACAGTCTTTGGAGCTGAAGTGACGAGCAGAAGAGTATCTCGTGTTACCATGAAACTGGTGTCTCGTGTTTCTGTCCCTCAGTTAGTTTTGACAGAAGAGCAAACGCCTGTGACTGTTCTCTGCTCCTCTGACCCTAGCTAAGATGACTTTTCTCCATTCAAACAACTCGTGAGTAAAAGCTGCTATTTGTTGTCTCTATTTTCAGGTTCCTTGTCAAAAGCTACACCCAAGTTAGTTCTGGGCAGCAGGTTACTGGCATGGTGTCCTACCTTAACGAGCTCTCCAGGCAACGCATTCAGCCACAGCACGTGGCTGCCAGGACTGTGACTGTGTGGATCAATGATCCAGGCAGCTTGGTAGAGGCCTACAAAGCACGTGCTGCCCGGTGAGTTCATGCTTATTAGACTGAGCCAAGCACCAATAAAATTGTGTGTCTTGGGAGATGGTAGCGATGTGCTGCTGACATTGTTCATGTTGGATTCTCAAGATGTGGTTTGCAAAGCTTTGCTCTGTGGGTTGCTTTCAAGAAGTGACACACTTGACTAGGCTGGGCCATTGTTAAGTGCTTTGAGGTTACGAGAGGCTACACGCAGCCTGTGCATAGCCCAGTTACTCTGTTCCATTTTGAAATATGAAATATCTTCTTATTTAAATGTCAAGTATATTTGAGCGTACGAATACCAACATTGTTCAAACTGCTCAGATATCTATCTGGAGAGAAGCAATCCTGATAGTGAAGCCTGTTGTGAAGGAAGTGTGAGAGTAGAACAGGTACTGGCATGTGAGTAAGTATTCAGGCACTACCTGTGTGCTGTCAAATGTTGTTTTACCCCTGTGTAGCCATGTTCTAGCTGCAGCAGTGACAATAGGGGTTTTAGAGTCACAGCTGCTCACTCCAGGCCATGTATTCAGTTGTGGCACTCGACTCTGAGTTCATCTGATGTGTTAGATTGAAGTTCATATGAATTCAGTGCATATAATCTTGTTAATGTGGAGTTACTGCTTAGCCTGTTTTTCTTCCTTTTATAAAACAGGCTTGTAGAAGCTGCAGCAAAGAATTTGCAAGCTGAACTGAACCACAGAAAGAGCAAGGAGGATGCCTGGAACAGAACTTCTGTTGATCTGGTGCGAGCATCTGAGGTCAGTGATGTGCCTGGTAAAGGAAATAACGCTTGAGTTTCTCCTCTCTTCATGAACCTGACTCACCTTCCTTTCATTTCTCATAGGCACACTGTCACTATGTGATAGTGAAGCTTTTCACAGCGAAGCTGTCTGAGATCAGTAATGCAGCTGTCCGTGCCGTCATGACTGAGCTGTGTCTCCTGTATGCACTGTATGGGATCAGTAAGAACACAGGGGATTTCTTGCAGGTTGGTGTCTTTCTCCAGCACTTTCAATCTCTGGAGCCAGAGGAATTGTTTGCAGAAGTTTGCTTTAAATGCAAAGTTGCACAAATGCTTAGGCGTAAGGTCTTGACTGTTGATTTCCAGAAGGCCATTAGCAGTGCAGGTCTGATGGAAGGCTCCTGTTAGGTTTCCCCTGTGATCTTGCAGAAGCAGAGTTGGATGATAAATGGTAACATGGTACCTGTCTAGGTCAGCTTAAAATGTTTACCAGTTGGTGACCAGGGCTTGTATGTTAAAAACCAAGCAATGAATAAAGGAGATGCAAAGTTAGACATGCTCTGAGCATGTATGCATTTGTAAATCCGTGTATAAAACTGGGATATTGTACTCTAAATCTTAGCCCATCCTTCATTGAATGGGTTTAAATTGTCAGGCATCGCATTTCTTCTCTTAATTCTTTCAGTTTGAGAATGTATTTGTGCAGCAGTGTTTTATTTTGTCTTCAGGCAGATTTTGTGTTCCCATTTTCCTCTTTGCCGCTTACAAAGAAATTCCCTGAAACTGGGAAGAATTTAATATACACAGATGCACATTCTTTCGGGAAACCTGCTACTGAAGTTAACATACAGGCACTCTAAAGAATGAGTCTCCCATCCAAGATGAAATAGCTAGGCAGTATGGTGGGCTATGCCAGGCATCTCCTTTTGCTTGCGCGCTCTGGCAAATTGCCAATTCGATTATTTAGCAGTTCCTAAAACACTAATTTGTTGGGGGGTTTTTGTTTTGTTTTGCTTTTTAACTGCTGCATTTTTGTTTGGGGGAAGGCTGACCTATGTTAGACCAGGTTCTTGTGACTTGCACACTCCTCCTTACAATCTCTTTTTCCCCAAGGCGGGTATTCTGACTGATGCCCAAATTACTCAAGTGAACCAGCGTGTGAAAGAGCTCCTGGCTGTAATTCGTCCCAACGCGGTAGCGCTGGTCGACGCCTTTGACTTTCATGACCTTCATCTTGGATCTGTGCTTGGCCGATACGATGGCAATGTCTATGAGAACATGTTTGAGTGGGCAAAGAAATCCCCACTGAACAAAACAGAGGTAAAGAAACTTGATTTCTTCATTTTTAGGTCACGTCCAGAGAAATAACCCAATTTAAGGTTTTTTAATTTTGATCTGGTGATCTCAGCACATAACTGATGAAGGGGGGAGAAGAGTCACTAGTGGTAATGGACCAAAATGAGCAACCTACTTCTGCTTTGCTTTCAGTATAGTTTCTTCAGTTACTCTCCCATATGTGCCTCACATTCATCCCTGTGGGATACTTCTGAGTTTCTCAGTTGAGGGAGAAAATCATACTCTCCCTGGAGAAACAATGGAATAATCTCATTGAATTTAAAAGAAATTATCACTTTCTGTTAATTCTGCTTAGTGACAGTAGCTGTGAGAGCCTTACCTGTTTTCTGGCAAACCTTTCAGTGCCTTCAGGCAGTAGTAGTAATTGGAGAAGAAAATAAATTGCTCTCTTATGGTACTCTAGTGTTGGATGTTGTATGTCTGCCCTAAGGCTGTAGCTACAACTGAGCTAATAAAAGAAACGGAGCTGGGAAGAGTCAGTGTCCCTCTTCCATCAGCCAAAGCAGAGCTGGAAATCCTGGCTCAGTGGCCTTTCCTGCCTCTTGGATTGGGACAGTCTCCTATGATGGGCTGCCAGAGACTGCGCTTGTAGTTAGATCCCACCAGAACTTGCTCAATTTTTTATGCTTCTGAAGTCAGTGGGGCTTAGGAGCTTCATTACAGTTCCCTTAGGAGACCTCTGCCAGTTCTCTTTGAATTAAAATGCAGCATAATTGTCTGTATGGATATCAGGTGTCTTCCATTCTTTTTTCTTACAAGAAAGGTAGTGGGGAAGCAATTTGTTTTGGCTTCTATTCTCATCCTTTGTGTCACCTACTCAAATACAGGGCTTAGATGATAGGCACTCAAATGCAGGACTTGGATGGCTGTTCTTAAATCCACAAAGTGCCTCTGATTCAGATTTCCTTAGTATCAAAACACAGTGCAAGATGTAAAGAGCTAAAACTGTTTTAAAGCTCAGGCCTGACCTTGTTGTCTTGTCCTCTCACAGGTTCATGAGTCTTTCCACAAACACCTGAAGCCGATGCAAGCCAAGCTGTGAAGCCTGCTGGTTTTTTAAAATGCTCACTTTTCCTGAACTGAAAACTGGGTGTGAGGATGTTTGCATCCTTTCTTCAGGCACCTCAATCAAACCTTTCAAATCCTGGTAGCTGTAGGACAGTGAATAATTGTAGCCTTTCTTTCCACTGCTATAAATCAAGGAGGTGTTTGGGGAAAGCGCGTAGAGATTGATGCCTGTTTTTTAAAGTGCAATTATAATGGTAAAATTAACCTTTTAAAAATCTGGGAAAGCTTTATGGATTCATACAAGGATTGCTTTTGTGAAGCTGCTAACTAGAGAGAAGTTACTGTCAACTGGAAAGGTAGCAGGATTTTACTACTAAGTAGTTAACAGCCCTCAGGCAATAGTTTCTAATGAGCAGTTGTGCCCTCCCCCAAAATGCATCCCTGTCTTGATTTTATTTTTTAAGATTAGCAGCACCTCTCTCCTGTGTTTGGCAAATATTTATGCTGTCTAAACCCTCCTGCATAATTTTGTGCACGTGAATCTGCATGTGGCACTGCTTTTGTGATGTAGCTGGGAAGTAAATACCCATCCTTCTCGGGAGCTCTGCTTCATTCACCTTTCCAGAAGCCATCTTCATGTTTTCCAGTGCATCCTTCTTTCACTGCCCTGCAGAAACTCCTTTTTCCTGTGTGCCATCTCCAGTGCTGGCACCTTGCTCTTTGTTAATAGGAAGTCAAAAGGAGAATGTAGTGATGCTGCTCTGAGGGGGAAAAAAAAAGCAGGTAGTAATAATCAGTGAGGTGCTGATAATAGATGTTCTGCCCTTCTTTTAACTGTTAGTATTTTCGTAGCACTATCTCAAAGCACTTTACAAATGTTAATTACGGTGTTTTGATGTGAAAAACCACATGTAGTGGTAGAAACTGCAAATTTGACCTGGAATAAAGAAGCCAGTATTTGAGGGCAGAAATCAGTTGACCGAGGTCCTTGGGTCTTCAGATTGTTCTGGAATGTTCTTCTGGTTTTTAAAGGCATTCTTCAAGAAAACAACAATCCCAAGTGAAGTGTCCAGATTGGTGGTTTGTCTGTTTGTTTGTTTGTTTGTTTCTTACCCATGCATTTCCAAGGAGCTTTCTCTGATTTGCTTAATTTAGTGTTTTTTATATTGACTTGGGACTTGCAGCGTGCTGTCTGGATTTAACAGATGAGAGATTTAGCTTTTAACAGAACCTCCTGATGCCCAGTGAAATCAGTGCAACTACAACTAAGCAAATTCTTTGCTGTTTTTCAACACCAATAACTCTGTCCAGTAACAATAACACCTCTTTACAACAGATAAGAGCAACTTTGAGCTAAAATGGTAAAAAGTTTCAGCACACACCAAAATCCTGCAGTTCTGAGGCAACATCAGAGAAGCTGGTTCTCTGACAACTTTGGTATCTGTTGAAGTCTCTTAATTTTGGATTGCTTTCCGAAGAGGAGTTTTTCCTGGCATTAACACAGTGTTTGGCTCCACATGCAGTAGCTGAACAGAAAGAAATGTTTAACTTTAAATAAAATAATCAAATTTGCTTTTTGGCTGCTGAATCTTTGAGGTTGAATGGAAGCAGTGCTGTTCAGGACACCAGAGGAGGCAAAGGGCTTTGCCTCCTGTTGATTCAGCAGAGCAGACTGCTGACCTGGGGAGGGATGGTGGAGGAGCAGGTTCTAAATCTGTTTAATGAGAACTGTACTAGCTGCCTGTATGTACAGATTTAATAAATGACCAAAATGTGGTTTTGGACGAAATGTCTTTCTTTGATGCGTTGCCTTCAGTGGTGTCATTTGAAGTGGTGGCTGAAGTAGAATGAAGTATTCACTAGGCCTTAAATGAGTTGGATTTTGGTCTTATTTCTAGTCTGGCCTTTCTGGCTTTGCTCTTTGTCCACAGCAAAGATTTAATGATAGTGTTTGGCAGCAGAAGCTTTAATTCATGGAAGGGATTTCTTTAAAATTGTTTCCCCATAGGTTTGGGGGGTTTTTTGTTTGGTTTGGGGTTGGTTTTTTTTGAGCGCAGAACGTGGTGCTGCTAAACCCTGGAATTGTGTCACAGGTCCTTTCTAGAGGATGATTTTTTCAGCAGACTCCCTGCAGAGGACATGGAAGCTGCAGAAGTGAGCCCAAATTTTGGGAGAGAGCTTGGGTATCCTGAGGGCTGGGGCTGAGCCAGGCCAGGCTTGTCCCTGGTGTCATCCCATCCAAGTCAGGAGTGGGATATGAACCCTGAAGTCTGGCTGAAGAGGTGAACCCTCTCTGGCATCCCTGTGGGGTGGGGAAGCTGGGATGGGGGAGTGGGTGGATGGTGGGAGAAGGGCTTCCAGTTGCCCTGGATGAGATGGAGCAAAGCCAAGGAAGCATGTTGTGCTGCAGCCCAGCCTTCCTGGGTGCGCTCTGGATCAAGTGGTGTTGGAAGAACCTTACCTAAGGCAATGGCCTGGATGTTCCTGACACATCTCCCAGAGGCAGCAGGATCTCAGCAAAGAAAGCAAGGCACAGGGGGTTTCCAGTGAGGGGGAGTTGGTCGTGTATTCTTCTGTTCCATAAAATGAGGAAAACCAGGGGCTGGAACGTGGTGAGGAGTTTCCCAAGCTTGCTCGTCTGTCTGAGTCTCCTCTCCCTGCCACACAGGAATCCGTTGCCTCTGATGCAGACCCACAAGCTCTGCTGCAGAGCCTGGAGGTAAGTGCACAAATACCCCCTGTCTCAGCCCCACCTGCGCTGCAGCCACGGCTTCCAGCACCAGCCTCCAAAGGGAGAAACCCTGCTGAGGCATTAGCAGTGCTCACCCTGCTCCCGTCCTCATTGTCTCGCTCTCCAGGACATGGATGACATGGAAACTGATCTCCTGGGAATATTGAAACCCAGTTGTAGGCCAGGGAAGACAACTGTGAAAGGTCCTGGGAAGTGTGAGTCCTCAGGAGGAGCAGTAAAAACCACAGGGAAGCTGCTGGCTCCTGAGAAAGGTAAAAAGGAGACTCTGTTTTTCTTTTTGTAGCCTGGTTCTAAATGAGCAGGGGGTATTTGCTTCCAGGATAGGGAGCAAAAAGTGGATTTGTTCCCTAAAATCCTTTTCCTGGTCCCTTTTGGGGCTGTCCAAGACAAAGCATTTTCCTGGCCACGTGTTCTCCCTTGGGAGATCCCTGGTCCAGCCTCTTGTCGTGGTGTGGTAACATCACTAACATTGAGCAGTGACAATGGCCACGCTGCTGCCTCCCACCAAACACCATTTGGCTGTTCCCTGGTGCAGGTTGAAGACCAAGGATCTGCCACGTCTGTGGGGAAGGAGAACCAGAGGGGTTGCATTTAAGACACACCAGTCCCCAAACTGCATGGGGCTGCAAGGAAACTGTGTGTCACAATATATGGGGCTGCCACCAGAAAAGTGACCTTCAGCCAGGGCAGGAGAGGGGCATCTCCACAGCACCTTGTCTCTCAGAGCTCTGGCCTCTCTTTCTTTCTAGGAGAGTCTGTACCTGTGGTGGAGAAGAAGCCACTCTCATCCCCCCCTGATTCCCAACAATGCAAGAACTTTAACTTTGAAGGTAGGATGTCACTTCACTTCAGCACGGAGATGCCTGGGGGCAGCTGAGGACTCTGCCCTCGCTCTTTGCCCAGAGCTTGCCTCTGCCGTTAACCAAAGGCTTGGCTGGTTAAAGAGATACAGGGTCCTTCACCCCTACAATGCTGGTGCAAATCTGATCCTTCAGAGGACGGGCTGGCAGATGGTTCCTGGGGGCATTCACATTGTGCTTTGTTTTTGAATGACTGTCTGTGACACTTGAGAGCCCTTGTGTCAGGGGGGATTCTGTCCAACTCCCAAAGAGGGTGGGCAGTTTCCTGGCACAGCTGAGATCTGTGTCACAGTCTGTGCTTCAACCAAGATCAACATCTACTAGAATCATTAACGGGCTTTAGGTGATTTAGGTGGGTTTTCTTCTCCTCTTTTTCTTTGTCTAAACAGGGTTCAAGGGCTAAAGCACTCAAATTTTGAGTTACTTTCTTCTAGCAGAAAGATAATGTGGGAAAACTGAACAGAAATGCAATTGTCTTGAACGTTTGAAGTTCAGGGAGACCCAGGGGTATCCCAGGTTCCTGCAGAACCTGTATTCATGGCTTTGGGCAGCTACTGTCTCCTGTTGCCATGTGCACATGGTGGGGGTAGTGCTTGGCTTAGTGCAGAACTGTTTTTCTCAGTCACACTGATACTGTTTGGTTTTGTTATTATTCTCCTTTCCCGCCCCTACGGGGTCACTCCCAGATTTAGAGGATCCTTTGGCAGGGCTTTTAGCTGATGAGGAGCAGGATGCTCCAACAGGCAGCTCTGAGAAAAATACAGAACAGAGCAAAGAGAAAGATAAGCAGGGCTGCTTGATGCATCCTCTTTGTGAAATTAATCAACAGCCAGGATTAGTTTGTGTGAGGTCCTAACAAGTTTTCTGGGTCAGGATTCGGGTGGCTGAGAGCACCATGGCTCGACATCAAACCACAGCTGGGGCACCTCTGGATGGGGTTACCTATGGTGGTTGTGTTACAGGCACTCGTGCCTCTCATTCCTGCAGCAGGGATGCTACTGGGTCTGATAGTCCCCTAAAATTGCCTTTCACCCCAATAAATCCATTCTGGACACAAGTAGCAGCTGGTGGGTCAGGGCAAGGTCTAAGGTGCATTGTTACAGCAGGGACTTTGGGCAAAGGCAGGCAGGAATTATCTGATTGGAAACCTGCAAAGCTAAAAAAGCTGCTGCTGTTACCCAGAGCTGGAAACCCCAGTGGCAGTGACACCCAGCAGTGTCCCATCGGCGGATGCGTGGCCACAGAGCGGGCAGTAGTGCGTTACAACTTTGTCTGTGACTTTGTAAATGGTCCTGAGAGATAAGAGCAGGCAGGGCTGCTTTGATCCCTTGTTAATTAAAAAAAGAGGCACCTGCACCCCAGACACCCCTGCACACAGTCCTTCCTCACATCCTGGAGTAAGGTTAAAGCTGAATGTTGGAACTTTTAATCACTACTTACTCTAGCTTCACACTGACAGAACTAGAACTAATCTGCTTCTCCCTGGAAAAACTAAACAGGGTACTAAATGCAAGTACCCTTGCTTTTAAGAGCAAACTCTCTAACTTGTCCTTCCAAAGGAAACTTGAACCACTGATGTTCTTTTAAAGATCTACATGTTCTTTGTGAGCTTTCCACTCCAGTACTTTCTGGCTAATGGTGTTAGTGTGGCTCCTCAACTCTGGCAATACGAACCAGCACAGGCATAGAGGAGGCTTAGCATTCAACTGTTCCTCTAAGACAACGTCACTAAAGCACACTGACTTCATCCCACTTCCTTTGTGTGGAGCTCAACCTTATCTCAGCCTTGCTCAGAAGGTAGAAAGTAGTTTAAAAACTTTATTGGTGATCATAAAAGTGCTGTAGAGATCCCAGCAGCTACACTTCTTGACATGTCAAAATGACAGCCACACACATCATCTTCCTGTTACAGCAACTCTTGG